CACATATTGCAAGTGTTTCGCTTACATTTGAATTTAACCCCATCCAGATCCAGTGAGGCCTTTAAAATTTTTGCATAAGGCAGTTTCCGTTTGGCGGTTAGTATTAGTTCGGGAGATTTCATAAAAAGGTTGCGTTTACGAAAAAAAAAAATCGCCACCTAAAATCGGCTAAAATCGCACCTTCGATCGTCTCCGAATCGCGATGAACTTGTTGAAATTACCTTATGAAGCCAATAGCAAGCATCTAAGGCCAGTATGAGATCTTGAAAATTCTCCAAATTGCTCTCCTCTGTAATGTTTTTCAGAAAAGGAAGCAGTGTTTTGATCCTGGGTTTTGATTCATCTCTCTCGAAACTCTCACGAGATGCGAACTCGACCGTGTTACGATTGAAATGAGGCCCATAAACAGTTTCACCCATGAACCTTTGCGGTTCGTAACGCACACCGCCTGAGGGTCGAGGGTAAATTGAAGAGGGTATTTTTTTTAATAGCTTTTTTTAGCTTTTATTGCAAGATTTCCCGATTTTTCGGACGAGTAAAAATATTCCTTGCAACAACAAGACATGAATTAAACTATCTTTGTTCAGCTGTCCCCAGCTGGTAGGAAAAAGCCATCAGAGGGCAAGGTATGTACTACAATGTAACAATAACAAGCTGCATGTCATGTAGTAATACATGCAAGCAACTCCTGATATAGTTTAGGATGTCCTACTAGGCGGTACTATTTCCTTAAATAATACAGACCAAAAGGAAAAGGCATTTTTTACGAAAAAAACACACTCCTGTTTAGTTGCCCTTTTGAGGTCCTTTTTGAAAACCATATCTTTTACGAAAAAGGTTTCCTCAATAAAGATGATTATTATTATTACCGTTTAGCAATAAAAAACCCAGATATGATATGCCTCCTAACAAATGTTGCTAAAACTCAGGATGTCCCGCTGAACGGTACCATTTTCTCCGGTAATACCGGCCAACTCAGGATGTCCCGTTGGACGGTACTATTTTCTTCGGCAATACCGGCCAAAAGGACAAGGCCACTTTCATGAATAAAACTGTTCCCATAGAGTTATCCTAAGCTTGTAGAAACCTACCGAAATCCAGTCCTACAACACAGTTTAACAATAAAAGCTAGATATAAGAGGTGATGTACATGCCAACAAATGTTGCTATAATTTAGGATGTCCCGTTGTACGGTACTATTTCTTTCGGTAATACCGGCCAGCGGGACAAGACAAATTGATAAGACATTTATAAAAGGATTGCTTACTATACTCAAAACTCACAATAAACGCAAACTGCGTCAACAATACCGTAAATCACGCTTGTCTGGCGATAAAACGGCTCCTTTGGCCGTCAGTTTTCACCACGCTTGATCCACCATATTGGATGTTTTCGTAGCCTGCGAACAGGCTCTCTGTTTGGGGAAAAGGCCTGTTCACAGGCTAATGTTTTCGAGAATTTCCGAAGTCGGTCCGAATCGGAAACTCGTTCCTAGTACTCCTCGGCTGACCTAGGCAAAGCCCCCCCAAATTCGTCGACCGTTACCACGTTCCACTGCCATCGATTTGCCATCAGGTTTTACTTCATACGCTAAACGCAATATTTATCAAGAGGTTTCAAATTTTCCTTTTTGGGAGGTTGACTGTCGAGTATGGAAGAATCGGCCAGTTTTATTTGTTCGAATTTATCGAACGAATGTGTCCTCGAAGAACTTTTAAAAATAATCTCTCGAACTCGAGGGAACTTCATACTTACAGTATGTTGTCCTTGGTCCGCGTCTAAAAGTCCTCTCGATAATCCTGAAGTTTCAAGTTCCAGACATCACTATTTTGCTTGGAATTCGAAAAAAGGCGACCGTTTTCGATGGTCCTTAGTCCACGAATGTGGTCCTTGGTCCGCGTCTCAGGTAAGCAGTACCAAAAAACGTAAAAATGTTATAGTTTCCACACGAAAACGTGATTTTCACAATATTTCATGTACTTTTTTTCTTTTCTTGATGCAATTAAGCTTAAGTTTTTTTTCGGAAGATGTTGTGAGTATAAAATAATCTGCTTTTGTTTCAAAGACTTCAGACAACAGTCTCCTCGAGTATCCTACACAAGCGTTGACGAGAGGGTTAAAGCGCGGTCGAAAATAATTACTCTGAAGATGACTACCGCACAGGTTGTCGAAACGTCAGGCACTGTCAACGACAACAGTCCTATTAAAATAAGGACTACGTTCACTAGGACGATCACACTCAACCTACTTTTGAGACTCAGCTGTATTGCATTGAACGACTCGGCTTATGGTCTTCCCAAGAAACGCTGGTCTCGGTCGGTGCTATTTAGTGTCAACACGTCACGAAATCCTATCTAACATCGACCGATTGACCGAAAGCTAACCGGAACTCGGTTGCGGCTACGAAAAAACAGAAGTAAAATAAATCCCGCGAGAGTGCGAATCCCATCCCAGTTTAATTGCTGTCATTTGAGTCTCAAACAGTAGTTTTCCAGCTTTTCGACTTCACCTACGAAAGTTTAAGAAGTTCATAATAAAAAAGTTCTACTTTAACAATCAGACGTGCCAGCATTCAACCTGACAGTGGCTAGTTGTGGAGATTCACCAGGAGGACAATTGGGCCCGGGAATTGGGCAGGCACGGATCCACACCGTTTTCCACCGTTTTTACCCAAATCGGTACGATTTTTCATAATAAATATATTTTTAATAATAAAAATGCTTTCCAAGTTGAAATCTGGAAAATGTCTGGCCTCATATCTACTACAAAATGGAAACTGACCTTGTTGAAATAATCCGGCGATTTGCAAGGCTTCATCTGAGGAGAATGGAACTGGCCAATATCCAGAACCCCATGGAAAGAGGACTTTAGGGCCGGAGTTAAAATCCACCAAAATTCCCTGGAATTTTCAATTTTAGATGCATTTTACGGCTTTAAGAAGGTTTGGCTTTTTCATTGCTCTCCCCCACACGGTTTCCAATCAGAAAAATATAGCCGGATTAACTTGGGATGGAAAGTATGAAAAATTCAGCGTCCTTTTGAGCTTAACTCAAGCCCAGAGGGGGTACTCCGGATTTCAAGTGACAGGGATGATCGAATGGGGGGCAAACTAATCAAAACCCAAAAAAATCCCTTGGGCTTCTATTACAGAATTAACATTTTTTTAGTGATATAAACTGGAAACGACAGTATTGACCGTTTTAAAACTCAAACTAACTCAAATATAACATCTTCGCTGCGATCGATCAAGTGAGTGGAAGTCGACGCGATCATTTCAGTCATTTTGAAAGGCGCCGCTGACATATCGATGACTCATCTGGTTTAGGTCGATGTTATCTAGTGCCTTCCGTTAATTGCCTTCCGAACCAATAGCGCTCGCGCATGCTCTGATTGTCTTGCCTTGATCGAGTTTGCCCGGCTGGGCGAGCAAAAGTGTTTATAAACCGGGCTGGGAGGGTGACCCGCCTAGCCGGCCAGGTCGGCGTTTTGAGATAGTAGGGTCACCTTCCTAGCCATAAAAGCATGCAAAAGGTTCGGCAGGTTTTGTAAGGAAATGTATGAAAATTTGGCTCGCCTAGTGTCGCTCGGGTAGGCGAGTGACCCTTCCCAGGGACGTTACCCCTCATAAACGGAGCCTACCGTTCATAAATTCGAGTTTACGACTCGTTTTCCTTCAGAGAAATACTCAAAACAAGGACATCTGCTCAAACAATTCCTCTAAAATTTATTTGGCAAACGCATTTAATCAATTAAACCTGAAACTAGAAATTTCAGCCAAAAACAAGCACAAAATATTTAGCTGGACGCGATTTCAACCGTTGGACCATCGATAAAAGTCCACTTGGGCTTTAATTTCCCCACAAATAATTATCGCGAGTCACATTCAATTCGTTCATATTTGTGATGAACGTTATCCTCGGGTTTTCTTAAAAATCGTTACACATCAATGGGCCTGCAATAAGAGTGGAGCGAACTTTAACAGCTGCAACAGTCTACACAATTTTAAATGACTGCCTCCCCTACCCACCCTCAATCAGAAATTCTTGACTCCCCACACCCCTTTGAGAGGATGTGGAACCACAGCCCCTTTTCTATAAATAGTCGTTTGATGGACAGAACAAATCCCTCGATCCTCTTTTTAAAAGAGTTCTCAAATTAGAGGAAAATTATGCTAGCTTCTAAGTGAGCAAACAAACCAATAAGACAAAATGACATTTCAATAAAACTTTATTTTGTAGTAATTTAATATAATCGGAGTCTACTGAGACTTGGTACCTTTAAAGAGGGGGGTGAATAGGGGTATGCAAATCCGCCGATCCGTCATGATTTATTAACCAAATCCGCCGTTAAAATTTCGCCTGAATCCGAAATCTGGGCAAAAATACTTTTATTACACGCAAAGTCCAAAATCCGGGCCCTAAAAAATGGATGAATCCGCAATCCGCTGCAATTGCAGAATCCGCAAATCCGTTAAAATCTCGCTTTGAATCAGAAATCCGGACAAAAATATTTTCAAATCCACCGATCCTTTCGCCTTTTCACCCCCTCTTTATAAGATAAACGTATTTACAGGAATAATTCTGATAAGTTCATAATGGACATTTTCCACACCATAGTTTTAAAACACGAGAGAGAAAAAAGTTCATTCGGGTTTTAAAAATAATGGAAATCTTCAAACAGACTTGGTGCAAAGATAAAAATTATTTTTTAGTTTTCTCAGAACATTACCGAAATCAGGGAAAACAACATACTTGATTCAAACAAATCGGTCGCTATTTTGAATTTCGATATTTATAATAGCCACGATGCGGTCCAAGTTCATTGTCAATAGGCCATTCCGAGTTCCGAGAAAACTTGAAACAAGTACAAAATTTCACAAGAGGTGAATTTTTTTTTTTTTTTTTTTGCTGAATGTTTTTGTCTCAAATGAATATCAAATTTAGCATAAATCGTACATTTGTATAGTTTCGAAGTTAGCGTTATCTATGTAAAATAAATTTTGTAGCTCACTAATACTTTCAGTATATTCTGAGGATATTTTTTAGCCTTCGCTTTTACTTTAAAGCAGGCTTGTATCCGTGGCTCCTTTATTTTGCGACCCCGTCAAAATTCATGTTACTTGCAGTCTGCTGGCTATTTCACTGGAACTAACTATGGGCAAAACTCTCAAGCGTCCAATCAAAATGATACGTTTTGGTCGTTGTTTGTAAGAGGGGCTCGGATATAAGAGCTACAAGCTATTGGGCGAATCTTTGTGGCGTCACTGTTACATTTTTTTCTACGTCACCTTAAAAACAAATCTAAGAACTATGGTTAACTTGTGCAGCTCGTCGCAAACAATATCTGAGAAACTGCGAAATTGCTATCGCAAAAAGATTTCAAAGTTAACTGCATCTCATATAACGCCCTTTCATCAGAGGTTATGAGAGGTAATCAAACTTTGAGGTTTGCACGTATTTTTAGGAAAAACAAGACATTGCTGACACTCTGGGGCTCTTAATTATACTTACATCAAGTCACTATAACAGCGTTCGTTCTATTTGAAGCAAAACGATCATCAACGGTAACTATATCAATAGACCACTTTACAGTTGTGTACCGTGTATCCTGGCCTTTTAAGTTTAAGCGAGCCTGGAGTTGACCTCGTTTTAATAAAAACCATTCATTTCAAATGTAAATCTTGCTGTTGTACACATGAATGACACTGAGGTGCTTATCAAAACAATGTCACCTTCAGCCTCAGTTCCACTCAAAGGCAAGGTTACTTAGCATATAACCGTAATTTGGCCTATTACAATTGTATGGAGGGGTTCCCTGCAGCAGTATCATACTGAAGGATTGACGATGAGGGTGCCAAGTTGTTCAACCTTCGCATGATGGTTTCCAGGGTTGGCCTTTCCTGAGGATCCACTTTAAGCATACTCATGATCAAGCCATTCAGCTCCATTGAATAACCACTGAAAACAGTTCCAAAAAGCAGTAATACTTACTCACTATCTATAGAGTGTTTTCACTCGAGGGGCCAGCAGCCAACACGGCCCCATTTTATTGTTTTGGGACAACATGGCGGAAGTGACGTCATATGAAAAGGCTCTATGACATCACTACTGGAGACTTTCAATGGTGGTCAGGGCTGATAATTCACTTTAAATTATTATTATTTTTTTGTGAGATTTAGCGGCCTTTAGAAAGGAGTGACTTCCGAAACTGAATTCTCGAATTTCTTCTTAAGTAGACTGCTAAACAGCTGACTGTTTTGCAGTCTACTTCTTAGGCTACGTTAAAGGCTACAGGAATTTTTCATGATAAATCTGGAACACTTTGTCACAGGGTTCTTGCCGTTTTCATGCAGATGAGTGAAAACGAAATAAAAAGTCCCGGAGTCTGGAGATTCTGAACCCGGAATGTAATCGGTATAACTGTGCATCGAATGAATTTTATCATTTTCACTGGTGAGTGTAAACGCCTGTGAATCCGAATACCCTGAGTGAAATAAACCTGAGAGCGGGTGTCAATCCGGAAAAATCTTGGGCACCCTGTGATATAACAGGCACCAGTAACGGTGTTCTCTATGCATTCACTTGACAAGTCCACTTTACTGAAGCCGGTCGTTTCGCCTACGAGTCGTTTCGCTAAAGTCCCGTTCGTCAACGTCTTTTGTCATCTCGCTTAAGAAACGAAACGAGCGCTGCATATGTATATGCCTCGTTCTTTCAGCCATGTCACGAAAACGTACGACAGACATTTGTATATCAAGTACAGAGATCAGAGTCAGAGATCAGGCGAAAGAAGTAAGGGAACTCAACTAACACATTAGCGAAACGACTTGACACGTTAACGACCAGGACGTTGGCCAAATGACTCGTAGGCGAAATGACCGTAAATCCTTTACTGAAGTCAAGCTTTTTTTACCTACCTGTCATCTGGTATGTGAATATTTCCGCTGTTTGCTGAAAGCGCTGAGCCATCACAAGGGCTTTGACCTAGCACATGATATAAAAAAAAAAATTCATCTCAGTTACACCAGTTTGATAAGACTCAAACTTCTCTCTAATTTGCAAAGAGCAACCGACAAACAAGGACAGTCGTCTAAGGACTTTCGAAATTGATGCTTGCTTCTTTCAATAATTTAATACCACTTACAGTGTAAAGGGATATTTCTCTAAGTTACACACACGATGAGCGTGTTAGGGCAATATACCTGTACAATCAACATTCGCCTTGCGGTTTAACCCCGCTATAACGGACACTCCGATAATACGGACAGCAGCTAAATCCCAAGCAAAAATAATTTACAGACGTTTGACTGAAATAAACACCCGCTATTACGGACTCTCGCTAATGAGGACACTAACTCAAGGTCCCTACAGTCTCTGCTAAAAAAAGGAATTTGACTGTATAAAACTTCCCATTTGCGAATAAATGTACAACTTAGGTCTTTTAATTACTTTTCTTTCTTTTCTCAAAACGATACTGAACTGCATAAGGCGGAGGACATAACAAAAGTAACCTAAAGAGGTGTATCTCCCCTTTTTAATATTCAACTGTAACAAGGAAACTTTATTGTATCAAGTTTGATTTACCATAACATTTAGAGTAACAAGAAATAACTCTGCTATACATCTTAAAATTAATTACACTGGCCAGGGATCTCGGCAAGCTCCCTTGAGCTTTTCTGGAGAAATTCCCTAATTGTACTTAACTTTTTACAGGTAGCAGATGGGTTTTTAACACATTTAGTAAATAACATGTAACTGAGAACTAACTACTAATAGTAATCAGGGTGCAAAGAAAGTCAGTTTTACAGCCCGCCATTCGGGCAAGCTGTAGTTAGCATGTACTAGCCCACACGTCATTTCAACTAGCCCCAAAACCCTTTTTGATTAGCAGGATTGATTACAATCCTTCTGTAGTCGGGCAAGTTAAGAACAAAACTCACTAGCCCGATAGCAAAATCCACTAGCCCCGGGCTATCGGACACGAGTTTCTTTTGCTCACTGGTAATAAACTTGATTCTGAACATAATCTTTAATTACAATAGTTTTCTATACATGTATCAGTACTGTAAAAAAATGACTAGATCAATATGTGCTGCACTGTTGATGGAACTCGGCCAGATTATTCAAGGAGACGCTCTTTTGAGTAAACTGAAACGGAATGTGAAGTCTTGAAAAAATGTGACTCACCATAAGCCATGGCGTACAGAGTGCAACCTAGTGACCACACATCACTTCTCTCATCAATTTCACAGTGTGATGGCACTTCAAAAAGCTCTGGAGCCCTACAAGACAATAGTTATATGATACTGTTCAAGTAAATCACATAAAGTGCTGCAATTTAAGGTTGGATTTTACGGTTTTGTCGGAGAGTCATGGAAGGCATGGCATGTAAACGTGAGGTCAGATAACCAGTGCCCTGGTAAGAGAAAAACAGTAAAGGAGCAGGCTTGTATCATGAAGCGGTCTTTACAACGACCAAGGAACAGTTGAATCTTTTCCAGGCTTTGCGTAGAAGTTATGAGCATATAGTCTGTCGAGACTACACCTCTTAAGTTGTTGTTTTCTTTTTTCCAAGTAAAGGGCCCCTTTGTCTTTTCACAAATTACGCGTACAAATATGCAAAGGAATGAGACGAAATTTGAATGAAACAGTTGAAACAGTTCTCTAAAGTATTATCACATGACTTACATGGACATTGGGAAAATAAAACATACAAGCTAAGGAGCCGGTATATTCTGACCTGAAAAACTGGAAGCTTAGCTAGTGACTGTTGTATATCAACATGGCTTACAGTTAACATTTTTTTTTGTAGTTAGTTCTACAGTGAATAGAACATTCTGACAAACAACCTAAAAAAAGACCAACCTGTAAGCTGCCGTGCATTCTTGAGCACATTTCTCTTGAAGTGCAAGAGCTTCTCTTCTACGAGAAAAAATACATAAAGTCGAAGCTGTGTTTTCAAGGAGTATGGAATTCTGTTTCTAATTCGTTGGTGGCGAGATGACCGTAAACCGTTGCTGGTGATCTTTTGCTTAGTTCAACAGCAAGGTATTAAAATCAAAAGGGAAACTTTTGTGAGTAGTGAATCTGCTATACTTTTGTTCTTTTTTTGCCTTTAGAAAAAGAACTAGTGAGTGAAACAAGGGGCTTAGATGGGAAATTATGACAGCATTTTAGATTACATGTACTTTGCCTACATAAAAACTAAAGAATTTGTGTCAATTGAAGAAAATTATTTTGTTCAACACAAATCTTTACAACTGCCTACTATCAGAAGAAGAAAAATCGTTTACCTAGATGTTATGGTGCACCGGGCTTGTGACACACTACCAAGATCCATCAATACCACAGAATTATCAGCGTCAATCAATAAATTATGAGGCTTCCAAAGTAAACAGAAAGAAGACAATATTCATAACAAGAACGTATCAATACTATGCAAATAATTCTAGGGGAAAACATGCCACAATATATATAGGTTAGGCCTCTTCACTATGAGATCCGATTGACCTTTTGCCCACTTGCACTGGTTCGTATACTCAACTGTCTGGAACTCACAAGTTGCAACCAAAAACTGTAAGTCTTTATACGGTCATTCTTCCCACAGGCAAAGTGGGGTCATACAGAATTTTTTTTTCAGACTTTTCCCAAGAAAATAATTTTAAAAGTCTCAAGGTTATCAAATAAAGGATCAAAAGAAACCTTGCCTGCCTTGACAAATGCAGGAACAAAGCTGTTCCCATGAAAGAAATAGGAGAGACAGAAGAGAGTTCTGAAACTTTTCATTCTGTGATTAAAATGTTTTGGCTACAGACAAGATTAGAAAAGATATGACTACCAAAGAAAAAGGAGTGACGCACTTATGGCAGTTAAAAAAAGACGAAAAAAAAAACTCCAGCCTTTCTACCATTTTTTTTGGACTTTATCTTTACTTTCTAACCTTTTTGCAACTATGAAAAACTGGTCTGCAATTCTTATTATTAATTTATACTTAATTGGCCTTAGTAGTACATGTAGCTTTAGTTAGAGAAAAAGCACCCATTGATTAATTAACAATTATTCCTTGAGCCCGAATGGGCTCTGACTCAATAGCCCATGAGGCCGAAGGCCGAATGGGCTAATTGACTCAGAGGCCATGAGGGCGAGAGGAATAATTGTTTTAGTAAAATCCAACTAGTTGGTCAAAAATATCGAGACAAAACAACTTTAGCTAGCAAAACGCATTGTCTTGGTTTTCAAAGCCAGTGCTTTTCGCTACTAGTGGGCTATAACATATAGCCTAGTAGTAGCTCAGCCAATCAGAATGCAGCCTATAATAATAGACCACTAGTTGGATTTTACTAAAATATGTTATCACATTACTTGTCAAAATTAAATTCAAGTTAATTTTTTTTAACCATTGATTCTCGATTCCCTTTCTCTCCTAGCCCTAATTCATGAATAATATGGCCTACATCTGTAGGAGACAAAGTAAATTGAGAATCAACCAAGGTTAAAAAATTTTAGCCTTTGAATTTAATTTTGACCTGTAACATATACAACCTTTCCTTGATACAGCAAAGATAAAAATTTGAATAATCCAGGTTTACAATGCATACCTTGATATCTCTATGAGCTAGTGGAGGATCTAAACTATGAAATGCTAGTATTGCATCACATAGTGACTTGAACATATGAAGGATATCTAACTCTGGGATGTGGCCACCTTCTCTTGCTGTTCGTTCAATCAAGTCTTGAACTGTTCCATCCTAAAATAAATTGATTGTAACAAAAATAATATGTTGGCAAGAATGATAAACGCCAGTTGAAGAAAAGTTATTACTGTGACAAAATAATGGGTAGTTACAGAAATAGACACTACCCTGCACCACAGACAGAACTAAACTTCTCATTAAATCTATCTGCGAAAAAGTGCTGAAATCCTGGTTCTAGGCCTCCACCTGCTGTGTACTAGGATTTTTTAGGATGATTGGCCTGTTAAAGCCTTTAAGCCTTAATATCCACATACAGAATGATCCTCCAAACTGAACTCCATACATTTCCTTACGGAATTAGTTGAGAGAATTTGTTCAAAGATCAAAGCATTTTCCCTTAGGTGATCATTTTATTGATTCTCCTAACCTTTTCTCTTGATTTTGTATTGATATTGTGAGGAGAATATTGATATTGGTCAGTCACTCTTGGGACTTGAAGGGTTTTTGAAATGCCATTGATTTGTCAACCCTCTTGAAGGGAAATTCAAAATACATTCTGGTAATTATTTGTTAAGCCCACTGGGAGCTCAGAACAAGGATATTGGACTTACTTCCCATACGCTACTAACCAGGGCTGGGTTGTTCAAAGCTGGGTTAAGATAACCCAGGGTGAGTGCGAAATTTGAGTTCAGATATGAAAGCTTAAAGAGTAAATGTAGTTTAATTCTTTTTGTCAACAAGTTGATGATTGGATGCAGAAAAAGAAGAGAGAAAATTATCTTATCTGGGAAAATGTTTTAGAGCAAAAGAGAAAGAAACCCGGGTTAAAATTTAACCCTAGGTTAGCACTAATCAGCCTTCGAACAAATGGGCCCAGGGTTGGATCAATTCTGCAAAAAAGGCTAGTAGACACAACAGCCCCGCATTGGGGCCAATGCACCCACCCCCCGCCTCTCATTACCCCTCAATTAAGCAATCCCACAATTCCATAGGAACCTTAACTCCTTTTGGGCTGACATCAAAATCACTGCAAGTGCTCAAATGCAGCAGGCACTAATGTATATGTTACAGGTCAAAATTATGTTTGGGTTAAAATTTTTTAACCAGCCTTAATTCATGAATAATTAGGGCCACGAGACAAAGGAAATTGAGAATTAACCCAGGTTAAAAAAATTTAACCTGAATTTAATTTTGACCCGTAACAAATTATACAAGGAGATACACCAGTACCTGAAAGTCTTTAAAAGGAAATTATATGTTGAAAGCTGACTATTGCAAGGCCTCTAAGTTTACCTTATAGTAAGTGACAAGCATGCGAGCTTCTTTAAATGTTCCCTTGGAAACCACATCCACATCATGTAAGGCCAGGACGCTTGGGTGATCAACTGCTCTGTGGGCCTCAATCTCACGTTCAAATGCCTAAAACAAAAATAAATAGACCATTTCAATGAATTAAAATTCATACTTGGCAGGCTTGGGGGAATAAAGCAAAAGAAATCATCTTGAGGCTCAGAAATGAACAATACATTTCTTTTGTTTAAATTCCCCCAAGCCTCATAGCCAAGTATGAATAAATTGAATATAATATTATCAAAATTGTTCTATTCAGTGTGTGTTAATTTTATACACCAGTGCATTGATCTGAATCACTTGCAGTGATGGACTTGAATCAATGAAATGCAACCTTTTTACAGGATTTGTAATATTTGTTAATTGTTTATTACTATCACACACTTATTGTCTAAAGAGCTTCAGTCATACATAAAATGGAGAGTACTGTCAGAATTATATGTCAACTGTAATCCTACAGCTTATACCTAAAATACAACAAAATTCTAGTTAATAAGCCCCAAATAACAAAAAGGCAAGTGTGTGCAGTGTCAAGGGGTTTTGGATGGGCTTGGCAGGGGAAAGATAATATTATTGTTTCCATAAGATAATATTATTGTTTCCATGTTGATGAGCTTATAAGAGAGGGGTATAGCCGGGGCACATGTAGGTTAGCTCGTGCTTGGGCTCTGCAGGAAGAGATGTAAATAATAGTAAAACGCTGGTGACTAATTTGGTCACTATCTTGGCTTTTTAGAACTGAAAGATTGCATGTAAGATTCATCAAAATAATATGTACAGTATGTACCTCTTCTTGCTCAGGGAGCTGTAAACGCATTCTTTTCTAAACAAAAATAGAGCAAATGTTTAGTTGAATTATGCACTCAAGTAACTTATGATTATATGAACTTTTGTTGAGCACATTGCCTAAATATGATATAATTATTAACCTTTGAATAGTCACTTGTGAGAGCTTAAAAATAAAGAAAAAGACAACTTTGTAAATTACCAAGTTAAGAGCGGTCGATATTTGTTGAAGAGTTTGTTAGTCACGTTACAAACAGGGTGGTGGTGGTTCTCCTTACCTTCTTTTCTCTTTGTTTCTTAATGTCTGGCCCTTTATATAACCAATTTAATGAGCCAATTAATTGTGAGGTTTTACAATACAAGTTATTCTACTCTAATATACAATTTGCAGCTCAAATGGTTTAAGAGTATGTCAATTAAAAATGTCACAACAAGTCCAATGAATTTTTGAACTGCACGTCTGGTGTTTTGAGAAGCACACGGAAATGGTTGATGACTGTCCACCTGAATGTTATGAGCAACAGTTGTAAGGTCTATCTTTCATATAGCCTGTGCTACATGCAGATGGAACTAAACTTCCCTCTGTGAAACAGTGCCAAAATCCTAGTTCAATTCTGAGTATGTGCCATGATTGGCCAGTGAAAAGTCATTGTCAATTTCCCACTCTGGTTAAAGGGAAATTCCAAACACATTTCTGGTAAAATATGTAATTTCTGGAGTCTGTTAGGGCCCAGAACAAGAATATCAGTGCTGATTCCCAGACATTATGCATCAGTCAATTCCAGCTGCATCCAGCCCCCGGGCAACTACAAGGCATTTGCCAGCCTCATCAGTCCCGGGGGTGGGGCATTTGCAAATTTTGCCAACCCCGGGCCTATTCCTGAGTTTTTGACATGCACATGGTTTCTTATTAGAATATAACTACACAGGGGATATTACTGGAAAAAAAGCAGATTGGCTTATCTGTCAAGGACAGGGGGTTGTAAAGGCATGTTCTTGATTTTATGCTTGCATTTCTTGATTGCTTATCGACAAGCCAGAATTACATAGCGAAACTTGGGAGTTATTGATGTGAATCAACGTTTTTTGGTTAGTGAATCTAATTTCTGTTGATATTACTTGAAGAACATCCTTTCATATTTATAACATATTCACAACATAACTTTACAGCGCTCTATTAATTCTATTGTCAATAATTTTATATCAGTACTAAAAGCATAAACTTACTGGTACATGCCATCACAGCATGAAGTCTTAATTTCAAAATACTAGCACTATAACAAAGGAAGACGTTACTTGAAACAAAAAATCGCACATTAAAATATTTAAAACAGCACTATTTGACTGTGCAATCAATGAAAAATGTTGCAGTGTTGACGGAGGCTGGGGCATTTGCCCTCTTTTTTCGTCCCAACCCCGGGGAATTTGACAGCTCAAGCATCCTCACCCCCGGGGAATTTTCCATCCAAGGCAAAAAAAAAATGCTTATGCCCGGGGGTCAGCCGGGGGGTGGGGGGGGGAGGGGGAGTCTGGGCGCAGCTGAAATTGACTGATTCATTACTAACAGGGGTTGCATTACACTCTTATTTTTCTTATAATTAAATTTTGGCAGGAAAAAAATTTGAAAGAGAGAACAAAAAAGTTAATTTAAAATACCAAGTGCAAACTTTGCACTGTTAAAGGCCTTGTAAGATCAGTTAACCCATCAGTTATACATAAAGTCATGTTTTGATGTGCTGAAAGGCCTACCTGTACATATACAACCTGTACATATGAAAGGGGGTAACTGGGCTTTCTTTGTTGTTATTATTATTATCATCATTACTTTTTTTTTCAGTTTTTGATATAAGTTTTTTGGTGTCTGCTGTTAAAAATTAGCGGCTTTTCGGTTTAATGTCCAACAGCAGTTGAGCACTTGTTTTTTCTTCATTATAAAAACACCCCTATTCTGTTTAGTAATAAAATATACCGTCCGATAATAAAAAGTGCCAACTATAATATTGAGAAACTTAATAAAAGATTATGCATGATAATTTTTGCAACCATGCAAATTTCTGCCCACCTTCTATAATTTTGCAGTAGTTTTAACGTGGCGAATATACTTACCAAGGCAAACCATTCCTTTCCACGGTAGACAAGGTTAACATAAGAAAAAGCTAAAACAAAATATTTTATAAATTTTATTAATAAGATAATTTTAATACAAGTTGGGAATTAATTCTTGGTGATCGACTGACTTCAATACTGTTCAAATATCAGCAGTCGAGTCAGTTAATTGAAATAGAGAGCATAGTGACCGTACAAAAGAATTTTCATAGCATAAAATACACAAATAATTAAAAGTAGTTTTTTTCTTGGTCTCTTCTTCTTAACTATCCAAAGCTTCCTCCAATGAGAAGATCAACAACAACTGCATGTTACATAATTTGAGCTCAATTTAAGACAAAGTTTCGTGCATTCTCTTTTTAATAATTTTACTCCTTTCTGTTGAATTTTAATAAAAACAACTAGCTTCAAGTAGTTGTAGAGATTCACCGGGATTTTCAAGGCAAAAGAAAAACAACAATTAATAAGGTAAAGGGATCACAAAGGCAAAAATATTTTAAGCCACCACATGACAGATCGATCGACATGTCATGTCATGAGTAAAGACTGTGAAAGAGCTTACCTCCCTCTCCGAGATCTTTAACCACTCTGTATTTTTTCCCATTTACAGTCACAGATGGTCTGAAAAACGATGAACATTTGTGACCCATATATATTTCCGCTCTTTAGCGTATTTACATTTCATCTGCGGCTTCTTATCTTGGCTTTCTCAATTCTTATATTTCTATAGGCGCCAGTTCTCTCTCTTCGAATTCCTAGTTCCCGACAAAGCACAGGATACCCAGGCCACTACATCTACATTTTCACATCTCCCCAGTAACACACATTGCCTCCCCGAAACTTTGCATAACCTTTGTCTTTTTTTATTTCTTCTGGAAATTTCCCCGGGATATTACAGGCTTCCCAAGAGAATGAAGCTAATTAGGACCCCCGCCCCGGGCATGGGTAGCCTGCGAACAGCAGACGCATTTCCGGTCGTCGCATCTCTCCCTCCGAAAAATTTTCGGAGGGAGGTCGAGATCGAGAGAAGCGACGACCGGAAATGCGTCTGCTGTTTCGCTGTTCGCAGGCTAGAGCCCCCCGGGGGGAGGACTCCCATATGAAACAGACGGGGATGCTCGTCATCTCGCTTAGGGGTGTAAATTTTGGATTTTGGTCTCGCTTAGGGTGTTCCGGGCAAAGCGCCAATATTTTAAGCCGCCAAGGTCTCGTTTAGGGTTCCGCGAAGAACTTGAGATTTATGACAATGCTTTTAAAAACTACTTTTAGATAAAAGCATTCGATGATTATGTCTTTATATTATTAAAACTCATTGCATGTCTTATTTGTGTGTTTTTAAGCGGTCTCTTTTAGGGGTCAAAATTTGCTTAAGCCACGCCCAGATTGGTCTCCTTTAGGGGTCACAAAAAGCTTGAGCCACGCCCCGATGGTCTCCTTTAGGGGTTAAATTCAAAATTTCCGACGAGCATCCCGTCTGTTTCATATGGGAGTCCCCCCCCCCGGGGCTAGAGCCCGGGGGACAGAAAATAGTAATAGGAAAACTTTACAAAGACATCTCTATATGAGTTACGTACCATTAATGGATGGTTGATTATGTGCATTTTTACCGTGTCATCCAACTTATGATAAATTTCCATACAAATCCATCTCATTCTAACAACCTTATTTTGTACTCCTTTATATGGCCTTTACGAGGATCAACCTCGTTCCCAGGGTCCTCTCCTACCCGCCTTACGGAGCTCCGTAGGGCGGTGTCACAGCGTTTTGGGCATCCCCGCGTTTTGGGCATCCCCATTCCCAAATCCCTAGCGTTTTGGGCATCCCCTTCTCATATTACTGCAGCGTTTTGGGCATCCCCCGGTACCCTCCCGGGATGCCCAAATCGCTAGTGTTTTGGTCATCCCCTCCAAAAAAATGCTGGATTTTGCGGGAAAATCGAAAACGTTTTAAAGATGGCTTCCCCTGAATATAGAAATCTTTTCCAGTATCTTAAAAAGAAGGCTTATCCGGAAGGCTTTGCAAAGCAAAAAAACGACTAAGAGAAATTTGCCAAAAAGTTCGAGTATGACTCAAAATTAGAGTCCTTGTTCTAGGTGGCCAAGGAGAAGGATGGCACAGCGCTTCGACGAATTGTTCACCGAAAGAGAACGCGAGGGTCTTCGAAGAGTGCCACTCTGTTCCTTTTTCTGGACACACCGGCGGCGATAATACTTTTGCACCCTGTGAAGGTTGTTCCCAAGGTGTGGTACTCGGTCGGAATTGATTTCATAGAAACCCCTACTACATCTCAAAACGGCAGCACATTTCTTCTGTCCCGTAGGTGCAAGAGGCCTCTGTAGAAATTGTGTGACAGCCTTTTGTGTGTCAAGTAGCGCTGCGGGGTTAAGTTGTACAGGCCTCAAATGTCATGCATACTATGAATTCAACACTGCAAAACGCAGTTTTATTCATGTTTGTCTTTTGATTGTTTTGTTCCGTATTCTCGTTTTTGGCTGTTTGGAAACAGACGATCGCAGCTGCCGGCGATTGCGGCATTTCTCGCTGGTAAACAGTTCTATTAGATAAAATTGAAGCTTTGCAAACAATGAAGCGTTGTACAGCGAAGGGATGTTATGCGGTTGTAAATTTTAGTTTCGTCCCGTTTTGAGCCAACATTTACAGCCTATGGGTTTTTTTTTTCTGCGCAATAAACCCGGCGAAAAGTGTCAGACGATATAATTCTAACACGCATCTACACTATTCAGCCGTAAATTCGTGATTGACAATCCCGACTTTTCCCCAGTCTGAAATAATTTAGGCAAAGTCGAAGCGATCATAAGATATTAACGAGGGTTTTTCACAAGAAAATGTATGGCGGTTTTACCAGGCGGCCAAAAAAAGTGGCCTTAATAACGAGGCGACCGTATTACCGAGTTGGCCGTATAAGGTGGGGTTTTACTATGCACCATGGTTTTTCTACATTTTTGTATTTATTTTACACGATTTTGGTTTATTTGTTGCCAGGTTGATATATATCTGGGGAAATGATATTCCACTACCCAACTCAAATGCCGACCCTCCCTTGCCCCTGAGGGTTTAAAAACGTCGTGGACAAGAGTTTTTCCTAAAACATTTATTTGACTCTTGAGGAAGAGTCAACTTCTTCATATTTTCAACATAATTTATTCTTTGTTGACCACAAAAATAGTGAAAGATACTCTCCAAATGATTTACACGCGCGAGCGCAATGTTATACAAAGGTCATACTCAGATCCAGTTTTACTTATTTAATTTTAAGTCGTTTTATTTTCCTAAAGTGACGTTGATACCAACTTCAATCTCGGTAGAAGAGGACACAGGCGATTTAAAGACGAATTTCACGCAATTTCAAACGCAAAAGCAAGACACTTGTGCAAACAGGAAAAACTGCGCGTGGCTTTAATTTCACGGCAATTTGACCGCAGTTAGATTATACTGCGGGAGGGTCCCCAAAAGGCTTTTTCGGGATACAGGATTTGTCTTAGTAGTGTATTTGAAGGCCGCGATTCGGGATTATAAGGCTACATGGGGGCGAGATTCGGGACTGAAAGTGCCAAAAAATCCTCTATTAAGCCCCTCGGGGGACTATTTACTTCAAGCCCATTTTGAGAGGGGGGGGGGGGGTTAATAGGGACGGGGGACTTTTTTGGGGGGGGGGGGGGACTTATTTTTTTGGGAAAAGACGTTATTATAAGTTTTCCATGATTGGGAGAAGAACAGGTCTGAACTCCATTAACATACCAAACTCTTATGCCGTCTCTTTCT